CGGGAGAAAGATGAGGCTTTCTACTCCCGTAAAGATTTACACCCTCGGAAACCCTGTACAGGGTCGCTATGGGTCGGAACCGACTCAACAGCACTTAACAACAACAACAGTCCTGCCACTGATATATGAGGATGCTGGGATTTCAGTTCAGGTCTGTGTAAATGTTGGCCTGAACCCTGAGCCAGAATTCTGTCCAGCAGGACCTAGCTCAGGAGTACTTGTACTGACCACTTCCTCCCACTATCTTGTAAGCATTGTTGTTTATACCTCCTTGGGACTCCTATTTAACTACTTCCCTAATTTGGGATGTTTATGTTAGTTCTGATTTTGCTGTTGTAAATGTTAATGCAGTGAACGAATTTGAGCTTGCAACATTTTTCAATCTTTGAGATAATTTCTATTAGAAGATATTTCTAAAAGTGGAATTTTCCAGCAAGTTCTTGCAATGCTTTTGACTCTTGACCCTGCATGCCTAATTGCTTTGATGAATCAGGGTACCTAACACAGTGGAATTATAGAGTTCCACACACCCTTGACAGCAGGGGTGTAGATTTCAGCTGTCATAAAAGACATTGTAATGTCTGGGGATAAGTCTTATTTATCACTTTTCTTTTGTAATACATATATAGCTCTCTCACTTTCATAGCATCTTACTGTACTGAAGAATATGTTCATAAAACCTCAGACAGTTTCAGAGTATTTATTGGCTTTAAATATTGATGAAATATTAACTATCACAATGTAGAACAATTATATGTTATCAGTTGTAGATAAATGCCAGCAACCTTAAGGGCTAAGCCTCCTTAGCCCTATCCTGCAGTTGGTGAAAGTGAAGGAGATGAATAGCTTACTTGGGGTTCACATTTGGGTCCTCTCTGTTGTCTGCATATGTGATTGGCCCACGCTGACTCTTGGGCTCCTTTATTTGACTACATATGGTTTGTAGAGCTTTGTTGACATCAAACCAATCTAAGGAGAAAGTTGACATTCTTCTGAAAGGTAGTCTGTGCTTCAAACTGGGGAGAGTTTTCTTTTTCTTTCAGATTAGGGGGCAAGGAGAGGGTTTAGGCACTTAAAAAACCCCCAAAGAAAGAGTTTTTATGATTGGGTTCAATGGAAATATGGAAGGAAAGCATTTAAAAAAATACTCTAAACTAGACTCTAGAGCAAGAGAAATGTGAGTTACTCTGAACATGTGAAAGAAGATTGAGAACTGACCGGAGAAGTAAAAACAGTGTGAAAGAAAGACAGACCGGCACAGAAGGAAAAAAGGCAGAGTGAGGTCTCGCACACGGGCAAGGGGATGTGTGGTGCTTGTGAAAAGTGTGCGGACTTGGCAGAGGAACTCTAACATGACAAATCAATAAAAGGTGATCCTATTCAATAATGTGGAACTGCTTTGGACATGTATGGCTATTACATATAACTATATATTATGTCTTCTTCTCCTCCTATTAATATTCTAAATTTGATCTGAGTTACCAGCAGTACATTTTTAAGAGCCTTTATAATTCTTCTTTTTGGCTTTCGAGTTACATAACAGCTTTGATTCAAGTGTTGAACAGAACAGAAGCCTTGTTTGATAGTCAGCTCTGTGCTGTGCCACCCTTCGAGGCATGATATTGTTCGAAGCATTTAAGTTACTTTAATGAGACCAGTGATCAGAAGTAAAAGGTACCTTGGAGGATTGATAAACTCCTGAAGCTACTACCCTGAGGTAATATTGAAACTTTAGACCTTAAACCCAAAATAACACTAAGGTCTTTAAAACCAACCTTAACTTGTAAAGAATGTTTACATTAAACATTGTGCTTTTTTTTCCCCTTTTCAAACAGAAAAGTGTTTGATTGGGTAAACTGTCAGTGGGAGGTGACTTCAAACTGCAGACTCAACAAAAAGTACAAAATTATATGGTTCCAAAACTTAGGATTTATGGTGTGGTA